TCTGGTATCGTGTTTCTCTCGTGATTACGTATTTTCGCAAACCGACGTTATGAATAGTTAACGCGTATTTCTTTAGGCGATGGAGTGGCCTTCGATGAACGTTGACGTGGGAGTGTGCAAAATGAAAGGGAAAACCGAGGTGAGTTTTACGAGCGCGTCGTAATTTGCAGTACGAATTTGCGGGTCACGTGGAACGCGTATTGTATGAATAGAAATAGCTGCTTCCAGCACAGTCACGACCATGGTCACCCGTCCAGCTGCTGTTGCTGACCCCCCACTTACTAGGTGCTGATAATACTTGACCTTGATCGCACATAGGCGATCCGATGCGATGCGACGCCGCGATGGTGGCGATTATCATATAAATCTCGAGTGAGACCATGATTCTTTGACCCTGGTTCGTTGTACGACGATTTTCATTGTCCAGCCGTATAGCCAACGTTCGCGTGGCTGTTGTGCTGGGCGGCTTGGAGCCTGCGTCGATTTTTCTGACTTTAATAACCTTTCTTTGTGGAATAGATGGTTCGGTGAAGCTCTGCAGGTGCTGCGGCTGTCGTCGTCTATTGCGTTGTTTCGCGACAGTCAGGTAAGTGCGATTGTCTCGAAACTGCGGACGATCCAATCTAAGACTTAAATTGAGCATCTCAGTAAACGCAATGCCGGTTTCTTGCTCTTCGTATGGCGGCGCCCAAGAACAAGTAGAATATGACAATTTCCTGTTTGAACCGTTACTTTTTTTCGTACTTCAAGTCAACTATCGATTAAATGGGCGCGCACCAAAACCTTAAAGAAAATGGACCCATAGGTTTTTTAGGCTTAATCCTGCCACATCGGAACGCCGTACTGTTTAAATGTTAGCAGCAGCTCATCATCGGTCTGATGTCTCCGCTGGATACACCGAATCACGTGAAAAGGGTGACTGTGTCTGAGTGAATATTTTACTACTTCATTCGAATTATTAACGAATTCCGTTTTTCAGCGCAACAAAATTACAAAATGTAAGTAGCACAGAATGAATGCATTAGTGCAGAAAAGAATTGAAAAGTAAAATTCGAGTGAAAATAACACATCAAATTAATGTATCGTCATACGATCCGCCATAAGGGGCATAGCAGAAATGCAGAAATTTATGACAAAGAAACGCCAGAAAACTGAATATGGTTGAGTAGTGTTTTTTGACAGCCTTTGAAATGTTCACAGGCTGAACTGTTTCGAGACAGGCACTGAGAAACCCGCTTAGGAGGTGCTCGTTATTGTTAAAGATGCTTTATCTCATCCTTACTCTATGCACCTTTACTGGCTATGTCACTTTTACAGCAAAATCGTGCATCTGGAGACCTCTGAAAGTTGAGACCGTTTGTAACGATCTATGATTTTTCTAAAAGTCACACGAAAACTGTCCAGGGAAAACAATGCCAGCGTCAGGTTACGCATGCATTACATAGATCGGGTTGTTCAGGCGGAAAAGCGTCGGATTCAGAAGCTAGAGATCCTGGCTTTGAGTCTAGTGGTCACGACTTTTTTCCTTCCTATTTAGATAGACGATTGCCACGGTGTGGGAAGGAGACAGGGGACTATACAATACGCTTACAACATGGCTGCTATGGACTTTGCCTTTAAAATAAAGCACTCATGGCTGATGGGGGGGGTCAGTGCCTGACCATTAACTTTATAAAAAGAAGAGCATCTGTAATAGCTCCATCATGAAAGCGTATGAAATGCCGACATTCCTACGGTTACAAACTTTGCGTTGCTTTTTCCTTACTATGTTTGCCACAGCAAAATCATGCACCGAAAA